TTTTTGGTGAAAATTTGAAATGTGGAGAGTTAGAAATTCAAAATTTTGAAAATTCAGAGCTTTGTGAATTCGGGGATTTAGAAAATCAGAGCTGTGAGAATTCGAAGAGTTCGAAATTCGAAGCATTGAGGATTGGAAGATTTAAAAACTGAAACTGTGTGTTTAATAAAGGAATATGTTGTTGATATATTTTTCTTGAGGCTTCCTAAGGAAATCAAGAGTTTGAAATGTAAGAAAGACAAGAACAGGAAGGAAAACGTGTTTCTCGCATCCGTTGTTTGAAACACGTTAGTCAGTACTGCGATTAACTTATCGTATACGTGATGCACGGTCATTTCAGTGTGCAATTACATCGTGTAAAAATTTGTACACGCGGAACACGAGTGCTTGTTCCGCGGGCAGTCGCTAGATTTGCGAGCAGATATGATAGAGACGTTATCAAATCCATCAAAGTGTCCATCAATGAATCTACATTATTCGCCTGAGCGCTCGCAATTAAAAGGGGTTGTATTCGTGTCAGGATTATTGTATCGTGTACCAAGTAGAATTCTCTGCGAATACATCGCGTATTCTGATCAAATTACGTTCGGAATTCTAAATATGAAACTTTGAAAAATTGGGGATTTGAAAATTTAGGGCTTTATGAAGAATTCGGGTGCTTCGGAATTTTTAAATTTGAAATTCGAAGATTTGGAAATTGAATACGTTGAGAGTTCTGGGATTTGGAAATTCTAAGCTTTGAGAATTCTGGGATTTGGAAATTCTGAGATATGGAAATTCAAAGCTTTGGGAATTCGGAGATTCGGAAATTCAAAGCTTTGAGAATTCTGAGAGATTTGAAATTCAAATCTTTGAGAATTCTGAGATTTGGAAATTCAAAGCTTTGAAAATTCGGGAGATTTGAAATTCTAATCTTTTACAATTCTGAGATTTGGAAATTCTGAGATATGGAAATTCAAAGCTTTGGGAATTCGGAGATTTGGAAATTCAAAGCTTTGGGAATTCGGAGATTCGGAAATTCAAAGCTTTGAGAATTCTGAGAGATTTGAAATTCAAATCTTTGAGAATTCTGAGATTTGGAAATTCAAAGCTTTGAAAATTCGGGAGATTTGAAATTCTAATCTTTTACAATTCTGAGATTTGGAAATTCTGAGATATGGAAATTCAAAGCTTTGGGAATTCGGAGATTCGGAAATTCAAAGCTTTGAGAATTCTGAACTGTAAATTCAGAGCTTTGAGAATTCAAACATTTAGAAACTCAAACTCTCCTAAATTAAAAAATTATAAAATCCCCCTATAATTTCATCTACACCACAAAGAACATCACATCTACATTCACGACGCAAACCAACCTCTCCAAAGCCTTAGTTACTTGACAGAAATTTTCAAGCCTATATACTCCGAGCCCCTGTTGTATCAACGAGATCGCGAGCGGACAAATGATCAGCCGGGCCATTTGACGTGGCAAGATACTACCGTCTTACAATCAGGACGACAACCGCGACGAAGACATATCAGGATCTCGCCAATAATTCCAACGCGGTAGGTACCGGACGCATCTTCCATAAATCATGAACCTATCCCTTCGAGCGAAACTTCACCCCCTCGCTTCTCTTGGATACAGATTTCTAACGAGCGAACGGGGAATCATCGACAAGCCCTACATGAAAATCACCAATACCTATAGTTGTAAACGGGAAAGTTATTTTTTCCTTTCTTTCTCTCTCTCTCTCGCATCCACGTCGTCCGTACAACGACGCGTGCACTCATGAATCATTCAAATTGCCTCTGAGTGATGGAACTCTCCCTCAACGGGAACGCCCATCTTTCTTTAACCGCAACGAAAAGTTGCGCCATTTCCTTTTTCTCTCTCTCTCTCTCCGTCGATGGTTTCGCTTTCGTTCAATTTCACCATGCTTGTACCATGAAATATGATCATAACGCTAATCACGATCAGCTTGTTCGTTTGTTTATCGTTGCATCTGCTCGTCTCTAATTTTCGTTATCTGATCCGTCGGGGGCAATTCGGGCGAAAGGAGTTTATCATGATAATGGGAATACATTATAATATTTCAGCGACAGTTTCTCAGCTCGTAAACGTAGGGTTTCACGAACCTGGACTGATACGAAGGTGCTATTGACATGAAACATTATACAGTGCAGCTCTTTTTCGTTGCGAGAGAAGCAGGGACGAGGGAATTTATCAGTGGACAGGATATTAATAATTCATTGTAATTAGAGAATAAATTAATACTAATATCTCTATTACCTACACCGATATATGGGGCAATTTTGAAGTCAATAAATGTAGTAAATAAATGCAGTAAATAAATGTAACTTTGAATCATTCCATCATACCATTACATGGGTAATTTTGAAGTCAACGTTGCTTATAGTAATCTACGAAAAGAGAGTCATTTTTAATTATCCCAATTAAGATGCAATCTTTCTGACTTCCCTGCAATTTACCAATAAACACAGAAACAAAGTTACCTTGCAACAGTATTATTGTCCATAACAATCTACCAAACCAGAGAATCCGTTTTTACAGAGTGTTCATCAACATTTACAACGTCGTTGGCAACATCCTCGTGAAAGAGTAAGTGCACGCGACTATCAGAGGGCTCTTGGGGATAATAAAATGCCCCTTGAGCGCGAACTCGCCTTTTGTTCCTTACTGTCATTACGGAAATGAGCGGCTCCAAGTCGAATAAGTATTAATTAACCGGCGGTTAGCTTGCGGTCTACGGGCAGGTCTTGGTTAGCAGTATGTAACTCGGTGGTTCCGGTTGCTCCTATAGCCTGAAGAACGCGACTTGAAGCTACGTTCACAACGTACAAGTAATGTGTTTTATGAAAGTGTACTTTTAGTGTAATTTATTTAGGATTTTTGTGTAATTTGAACTATTAAAGTTATTTGCGTATAATATCTCGCGATGAAAGTGATCGGAAGTTCATTTATCTGATACGTTATGGAGTTTAATGAAGATTGGATTACGAAGATTACGAAGATTGGATTATAGAAACCTTGAAGACGTGAAATGGAAAAGATTGTTGGAGATAAGAAAGTTCAAGTTGTAAGCTGAGGGACTGAAAGCTTGCCTTTACTAGGAGAGTTGAATGCAAAATCGAGGAGTGCAAGATGAAGAGATTATCTGATAAGGAATCGCAATCTTCTAATCCCTATCTTCTTAATCGATCAATTTGATCCTCCGACGTTTCGTATGTTACGTAGTTCTTCACTGATAATACAAAGTTGTAATTTTATTGCTGAAGAAGTGGTATTTAACGTAATTTTGTAAAACGAAAAGGGGGAATAATGGGTGTATAATTCTTTCCGGGTAAATATACCGCCAATGATCTATAAAGTTACGCTTTAAGGCTGGAATTGAGAAATTTGGAAAATTTAAGGATTCGGGAACTTGGAGACTTGGAAATTCGAGAGTCAGAAAATTTGGAAATTTAAAACTTGGAAACTTTCAAAGTTTGGAAACTTAAAACCTTGGAAGTACCAAAGTTTGAAAATTGAAAACTTTGGAAATACCAAAATTTGAAAATTTCTAAATTTGAAACTTGGAAGACTTAAAAATTTAGAAATTCAAGTTTAAAAATTTGAAAAATTGAAACTTTGCAGATTCAGAAATTGGACAGTTCCAAAATTCGGAAATTTCAAAAATTTGAAGATTCGGAAATGTGAAAATCTCTATTCTCCCCCCAATCCCTCCAAACTTTCTACACTTCGAAGATCGCCTCGTTAAAAGAACGAAAACTGAAACAGTTTCACGAAGGTGTCGATTTCACGCGATGTTAGAGCAAGTAACAGCTTAGCAAGACGGGAGC